CAATACAAGAACTCATGGGCACTCCATGAAACTGCAGAGCGGTCGGGTTAGAACAGATAAAAGGAAGTACTTCTTCACCCAAAGAGTGATTAACACATGGAATTCACTGCCACAGGAAGTGGTGGCAGCTACAAGCATGGGCGGCTTCAAAAGGGAATTGGACAAGCATAGGGAGCAGAGGTCCATCAGTGGCTATTAGCCACAAGGTCTAGAGAGGAACTCTCAGTCTGGGGCAAGGGATGCTCTGTATCCTTGGTGCTTGGGGGGGGTCAACAGTGGGAGGGCTTCTAATGTCCTGGCCTTACTGGTGGACCTCCTGATGGCACCTGGTATTTCTGGCCACTGTGTGATACAGAGTGTTGGACTGGATGGGCCTTTGGCCTGATCCAACATTGGCTTCTCTCTTATGTTCTTATTGGGAAACACCTTCAGCAAGAAGAGTGGAGAGGAGCAGTTTTGGGGGATGTGCAAGGAAGAACAAAAATATCATCACCCTTGTTGACCGGCTGCAGATCTGATTCACCTGTCTCCGGTTCTTAAGTGGTTTGTGCCTTCACACTCTGCCATTGTTTGTTTGTTTGTTGCTGATGCCAGTCATCTGCCATGCAGAAGAGAAGAGCTCCGGGCACCCAGGGGATCTCCCTCGAGGAGTCCAGGAAGTCAGAGAAGAGGGCGGGGGACACTGCAGTGCAGCGAGGCCGGGCTGCTCACTCACCCACACCCAAAGGGAGCCATGCTGGTCTGCTAGCAGTGGTGTGGAAACAGAGGGAAGCACATCTGTCTCGTGGACAGCAGAGCAATGCTTGTGCAATGGTAGACAGTTCCAGAGGAGAACTGAGGCCAAGCCCAGCCCGTGACAGCCACAGCACGGCCGCTCTGCTTCTTCTTCTCCTCCTCCACCGGAAGGAGGTAAGTGGCCGCTGGCTTAGAGGAGGCTCTCTCCTTCTCTCCCATCCTCGGGAAAACCCCCGTCTTCTCCTTCCTCTGTGTTTCACATCACCTGTCTCCTAGCTGGCTGACGTGCTCTGCAGGGCCACGGTCCTTTTGTTTCCAGAGCATTTCAAAAGTATCTTCAGGCCCCTCAGTTAGGCCAAAACTGGTGCTGGAGGGAGTCCGTGATTGTGGCTACGCACCAAGTCTCAAGAAAAGAGGGGAAAGCACGGCAGGAAAAGGTAAGTTTTCTAAACTTTTAGAAGAAACCACACTCTGGTGTTATTTCCCCCCCCCCCCATAACCAGTTAATCATGAGGTCTAGAGTCTTATTTTCCTTAAAATAATGCTGAGGCCCTTGGGCTTTTGGACAGGTAGCTAGATTTATTACTATATGGCACATGTCCGTCTCCTCAAAGACCTTCTTCAGGGGGCTAGATGGTGCTTTAAATGCCCGTCTTCTGTGGAACCTGAGAGCCAGTCCGGAGCCCACTGCCAAGACCCGACCTGGCTGCCAGCCCACTGGCTTCGGACCTTTGAGGGGTGGGGATGGGAGGACCGGGCTCCTGGCAACGGTGGCCTCCAGGACCACTCCAGAGTGGAATGAGAACTCAAAGCTGCAACCCTGCAGGGATCCTCTCTCTTTTCTCAGCAGGGAAAACATCAACTACGTGGAACGAGGGGGAGGGGGCGCGCGTACTTCATTAGGCAGGGAATTGGCGAATGCACAGAGCCACTGGGTAGTCACGGGGGCATGTGGGGTGGTGGTGGGGGTGCTCCTCCTCAGGGGAATATGTCTCACCCCCACCCCGCATCACCAGTTTTCTTTTTTTTCTTTTTAAGCATGTCTCCATCCTTTTTTTGTTGTGGAGATACAAGGGAAAGTGTGCAGGGAGTTTTTGCCCCAATTGCCCGGGAAGGAATGGCAGACAGCGGGGGCCGAGTCGGTCCAGCCAAATTCATCCTCATATGCTCTGTTCCAGAACCTTTTCTCCGTGGGCTCTTTGCGCCTTTCTTGTTGGTCTCTCTCCTCTTCACCATCCCCGCTGATGTGTGTCAGAAAACTGCAGTCAGATTTATACCGTTCCGGTGCTGCAGCAGGGGGTTTGCCTCAGGGATTGGTGGGTTGGGGCTGTTATGAAAGGAAGGCCCAGCTGAACTCCGGCTGGCATCTGCTGTTGATCATGAACCGCCCTATCTTGGTTGTCCCTCAGCAAGTGGGGGATGCCTTCTCCTCGCCACCGTCTGTGTCACACACTCCCGTGGCCACTCACCTGCCCCCAAGTCTGGGTTTAGGGCGAAAGGGGTGAAGAGACATATCGTGCTCAGGAATGTTTAAACTCCAGCACTCCTCACCACAGAAAAAGAAGCACTCAGCCAAAGGGCTGAGGGGCCATAATGTCCGGGCATATAGAATATCTTCACCATGTTTTCGTCCAGAAAAATCAGGTGTTTGGAAGGGTCCAAACAGATATGAGCCAAGAAGAATCTCCTCTCTGCACTCCAGAGGGCAGGGCCTACGTGTGCAGAATGCCTTTGCCTCACTATACAATAACTGCTCACTTCCGTTTTGGAAATAATTCCTAGGCTGGAGGGAGTGATCTGCAGGCAACCTAGGAATCTCCCGCAGAACATCGAATAATTGGTCTCTTCCCCACCCCCCAGCCTGCTCATCAGCATAATTTACATCACAGCCCCTGGCCTTTCATTTTGCAACAGCTCTTGAGATCAGAGGAGTGGGAGACTACTTAAATCAACCATTTAAATAAATGGTTAGTATGACTGCAGGCAAATAACTTGTCCTCGTATAGAATTACAGATGAATAATTGTCCCAGACTTGTACACATGCCTGCTTGTGGAAACTGCTGCACATGAGCGCAGTCGATGAAAGACGGTAATCCGGCAGTACCAGCTCAACTACATTTCACATTTAGCGTGTTGGTAACCTCCTTTTTAAAAAAAAGAGTCTGTTTCATAGCCCATCACTTCCGAGTCACATAATAGTGGCTACACACATTTACAGAGACCACGTAGTCCAGTGGCTAGTGTGGTATCCAATACCGGGCACAGACCTACTGTGCAGAAGGACGGCTACTAAAATTGCTGTTCCGTGGGGCATCACTAGGTCCCGACTCATGAAATCATGGGGACCCACCCAGTGAGGGTTTGGGAGGGCATTTACTGTCCCCACCCTCTCCGTGTCTTCGTGCCTCCTCACTGTAGAAAGGTCTGGCCGCAGGCCTACATGCCGGGGAACCACTAGAGAGTCCTGCATGGGGGGGCGGTGTCACCTCTGCGCCAAACACTTGTTGGTCACACGCAGCCACCACCGCTTCCTCGAGATTAAGAGCTTACTATAACACCACAAACAACTTTTAAAAAGCAATGTGGCTGGCAGGGAGGAGGACTCCTGAATCCTGTTGTCCCTGCCCAGCAGGTTGGAGGAAAGGAGCCAATATCAGGGCCGGATTTTCAAGGAGCTCCCGCATGCCATGAGGATGGCTGTCAGAGAAGCCCCCAGCAGCAGGACCGCCACCCCCCCCCCTTTGGCCTTTTGATCCACAGTGAGATTCCAGCAGTCAAACAAACAAGCACACCCCCAGCTTAGCAGGGGAAAGTCCACAGAGGCGGAGAGCAACGAGGCATCTGACACCAGCCATATACATTACTTGCCCAACAGGCACTCCTCCGGGGTGTGGTGGCAGTGTGCGTTCCATGAATCTGTCAGTGGCGATACTGGGACAAAACAGAGCTCCATCGCCTTAGAAACTAATTTTGCAGCTTATCAAAATCCCTAGGCCTTATGAGACACATGGCGAAATATGATAGAATTCAGAATGGGAATTGTCCCCCCCCCCCTCCTCACTACAGCCCTCAGGTGTGTGTGTGTGTGTGTGTGTGTGTGTGCGTGCGTGTGCGTGCGTGCGGGAGCAGTAGGTTCAGAGATGCTGCAAAAACAGATTTAGTTTGGGCTGGTTCTCAAGCCCCCTTTCCATCCAGTTGGACAGCAGCCCAAGTTCCCTGTGGGTGCTCCGCTTGCGATCAGGACAGAGTGCGGTCGACCTCATTTGGAATACTGTGTGCAGTTCTGGTCACCACACCTTAAAAAGGATATTCTAGCTTTGGAAAAAGTGCAGAAAAGGGCAACTCAAATGATAAAAGGGTTGGAACACTTTCCCTATGAGGAAAGGTTAAGGCGCTTAGGGCTCTTTAGCTTGGAGAAGCAACGACTGAGGGGTGACATGATCGAGGTTTACAAGATTATGCATGGGATAGAGCAGGTGGAGAAAGAGGTACTTTTCTCTCTTTCTCACAATACAAGAACTCGTGGGCACTCCATGAAATTGCTGAGCGGTCGGGTCAGAATGGATAAAAGGAAGTACTTCTTCACCCAAAGAGTGATCAAAACATGGAATTCACTGCCACAGGAAGTGGTGGCGACTACAAGCATGGACGGCTTCAAAAGGGAATTAGATAAGCATATGGAGCAGAGGTCCACAAGATAGGGGCTCTGGGGCAAGTGATGCTCTGTCTTCTTGGTGCTTGGGGGGGGGGAGGCAGCAGTGGGAGGGCTTCTAGTGTCATCTGGCCCCACTGCTGGACCTTCTGTGGGCACCTGGTATTTTTGGCCACTGTGTGACAGAGTGTTGGACTAGATGGGCCATTGGCCTGATCCAACATTGGCTTCTCTTATGTCCTTCTATCTGGGGCAAGTGATGTTCTGTATTCTTGGTGCTTGGGGAGGGGGGTCAACAGTGGGAGGGCTTCTAATGTCCTGGCCCCACTGCTGGACTTCCTGAGGGCACCTGGTGTTTTTGGCCACTGTGTGACACAGGAGTGCTGGACTGGATGGGCCGTTGGCCTGACCCAACATGGCTTCTCTTATGTTCTTATGTCTGGGGCAGTGATGCTCTGTCTTCTTGGTGCTTGGGGGGGCACAGTGCTGGTAGACTACCTGATGGCACCTGGGTTTTGGCCACTGTGTGACACAGAAGAGTGTTGGACTGGATGGGCCGTTGGCCTGATCCAACATGACTTCTCTTATGTTCTCTTCGTATGTTCTTATGCGATGACTCACCATTTGTGAGTTCCTGAAAAGTCCTTGGATCTGCCCCATTGCCCAGGGGACAGGATAAAAGTGGCAGGCCCGTGTGCTTGTTGGAAGGCTCCCAAGAGTGGCCTCTCTGTTTGCTAGGGTGTGGGGCACAGGCCGGGGGGGAGGGGGACGCTGGGATCGGGCTGTCCTTCCCCCTTTTGCCCCCCAGCCCCATGTCAGCCCAGCCCCCCCTCTCAGTCACTGCTTTTTCTCTTGCACAGCTGCCAGCGGACTTCATTGCATGACGGCCACAGGCTTCCCCCTGAGGACAAGATGTTCCCGGCGTGGCTGGGATTTGTTCCTGTGCTTCTCTGTGCCTCTTTGGAGGCGGAAACCAATGCAGGTAAAGCACAAGGGACACTCTCCCAAGCCCAGCGAGGAGGTATCACTGGGCCTGCGGGGGACAAGTGTTCTTTTGGTGTCTGAGTTTTGACCAGGACAGAGGCGGGCGAAGCCTGTGTGAGATCAGAGGCCTCCTGTTCTCGTAAAGCTGCAGAATCCAGGGTCAGAGCTATCTGGAACATTTCACTGTCACTGCGGGGTTCTGCATGAGGGGGACCTTGCGAGGTCTTGGGAGAGTCCTGCTTTTCTTTTTCTTTGTTTCCCTCTTTCTCTTGACCGAAGGTTAACTCCTGACAGCCCTGGCTGGGAAGAGCAGGTGCCCGGCCTCTCTGCTGCTATTGCCCGTATTCAGATGGCTTCAGCCTACTGGAAAGACTGTTAAGGGGTGGGGCGATGGAAGAGATCCCTTATTTGATTGTGTGGCGTTTGGAAGAGATGTTTTATGATCGGCTTGCCTACTACATCTCAGTGCACAGCTGGGTAGGATGAATGCTAAAGTTGTTAAAGGCCAACCCAGTTTGCAACCTAGTTTCCTCCCATTCACATCCATGGTAACACAGGAGTTTGAATCCAGGCGTCTTAATTTGCTTGTGGATTACCGACATCTGGCCCATAAATAGATATGAGGGGGAACATCCTTCTTTTGTTATTTCAAAATGTGCACTATTTCAAAAACTGAAAATGTAACTTAATGCTTCTTAAAGAAAGATTTCCTCTGTTTCCGTTACCTTTTAAGTTTGTCAGCTGAGATTTTACAGACTGACTGGTAACCAAGGAGAAGCAAAACAGGGAAACCCAGTGTTAAAATACTCATTGTGAAAATGGCACAGCACTATTCACGTCCAAGGGCTTCCTGTTCCCTTTTCCTTGAACTGAAATTTCCTGCAGAATTCCTGGAGTTTCAAATTAAAGATTCAGGAGAGCAGAATATATATTTTCCTGTACCCTAACCGTTATCAGCCTCGGCCTCCTGACCACGTAAGATCGCAACCGAGTGCATTCCAAACGAGGCCTCTGCCTTGTGGGCGGACAACAATCCCCACTTTGTATTGGGCTAAGCTGTTTGCGTGGCCTGTTGTGCGCCCTCTGGGTGGACTTAGTCCTTTGCAGAACCCCCGTCCCGCTGGGCACCTGCCCGCTCTCACTCTGCCCTCTCCATCCTTCTTTTTTCCAGGCAGGTTCCCATTCCGGATGGACTCTGTGATCAGGATTCTGGGGGACATGGAGTCCCACCTTGAGGGGACCCCGGATTCGCCTGTGGCAGAGCTCTTCCGAGGACTAGACTGCGAGAGCGACTTTTGCCAGCTCTCTCCTGTTCCAGTGACTTTTGCGTCTTTAAATCTGCCTTACCTGAGTGAGAAACAAATCTCTTTCCTCAAACACTTGCAGAATCACAAAACGGATGGCTCCTGGACGGAATACGGGGCAGTATTGACTCCCGATGGGACCACCGTGTCGCTGAGCCCTCTGCTTGAGGGAATCGTAGGGGGGCTCAAGAGGGGGCACGAGGGGGCTGTGCCCACCACCGCTTGGCTCACAGACCCCCTGAACAACACTGACCTAGGGCCATGCCCCACTCTGGACCCCCTCCTCGCCCCGCTCGCCAAGAGCCTCGCCGTGGCCTTCTCCCTCTTCCACGCTGGGCAGAGCCGGGCGTTGCTGGGCCCCAACGGCTGCTGGGATGACATCTTGGCCCCTCACACCTTCACCTTGGTCGGCCCTCCCTCGCCTGTGCCTGACGCTTTTATCAATGGCGCCATGGACGGGGTAATCCTGGGCACCTACTTGGCGAAGAATGCTGGCTCACCACCCAACATCAGCAGCCTGCTTCACGGGTACTACCACGCTGGAGAGGGCCTGGCAGGGGAGAATCAGACCCGAAGCAACTTCCGGCGAAAAAACTTCTCTGACCTGGTGAGCAAGGAGAAGCTAAGGGAACAGCTGGAGAGCTCCCTCTGCCTGCTCCGGCACCGGCACCTGCAGGACGACGACGGCCACCCCCTCCTCAGAGGAGGCACCCTCCTCACGGACAAGGAAGCGGCTTCCCTCCTGGCCCAGGCAGCGGAAGAGTTCACAGCCATCTACGTGGGTACGTGGCCTCGCCGTCACGCTGGGCCAGGCGGCCCCGGACACCCGGGGGGGGGGATGGGTGGCCCTGCTGTGCTCCTGCATCACTGGGGAGCCATCCGGGGTGTGTGTGTCAGGTACTTAGTTGCCAAGGTGGCCACGGCCCTCATCAGCAAAGGACTCCGGACAGGCACCTGCGGGGGGGGGGGGCACCACAGAGTCCCTGGTGGAGGAGCAGAGGGGGCCCGTCCCCACTGGGCTCCAAACCAAACAAGATGTAAGCCCCCCTGAGCCTGCCTCGCAGGGAGAGCGGGGTACACATCGAATGAATAAAAATAAATAAATAAAGATGTGGACAAAATGAATGAAAGAGGGAAGACATGGTATAAAGAGAGAAATGAAATGTCTAGGAAAAGATGACGCAAGCAGTCCCCAAACGAGTTCTGCTCACCAGGCCGATATGCATTATCTCTGGGTAGGAGAGCAACTCAGGGTAGAATCACATGGAAGAAGAGAAGAGACTGGATTTATACCCCATGGCCCTTCACTACCCCCAAAGGAGTCTCAGAGCGGCTCACAAACTCCTCTCCCTCCCCCTCCCCACAACAGACAGACACCCCCTGTGAGGCGGGTGGGGCTGAGAGAGCTCTTGACAGAAACGGCTCTTTTTCAAGGACAGCTCTTATCGGAACTACGGCTTGCCCAAGGTCATCCAGCCAGGTGCAAGTGGAGGAGGAGTGGGGAATCAAACCCGGTTCTCCCAGATCAGAGTCCGCGTGCTCTTTTCCACGACACCAAGACTGGAGAGCGGGGGCCCCCTCAAATGCATCACCCTCGTGGGCGGAGTAACCATATGTGAGCTGGCCCTGCGTGCCCCTCTCCACCGGGTCCTCTAGCCTGCCGTGTTATTCACCACCATGCCTGTGTGTGTCTTCCCCTTGCAGAGTGCCCTGCTGTCATTCCGCGGTGTATGTGGGGGGCTCAGCCCTACAAAGGAACACCGACCCAGCTCCAGCTGCCCTTGGGCTTTGTGTACATCCACCACACCCACTCGCCGGGAAAGCCGTGCCGGACCTTCCCAGAGTGCGCTGCTGACATGCGCGCCATGCAGCGCTTCCATCAGGTTGTCCGCGGCTGGGATGACATTGGCTACAGGTGAGTGGAGCGCTAATGCAGCAAGCAAAAGGCCGGGAAAGTGTGTCCCAAAGTGGGACCCCACAGAGAAGTGGGACAGGTGGGAGGCGGCTGGGATACAGCTGTGGTTGGATCTCCTTTGTGGCACAATACAGTGGTTCAGTGGTTCAGAGTTAAAAACAAACAAACACAATGCCTAATTCTCCATAAAGGAGTAAGCCTTTGTTTGGTTTACACTTAGGTTGGATAATGGAACACTCCCCAAGTCAACAGAAAATCCCTTCAGAAAGAAAATGTGCATATTTGGGGGGAACTAGACTGGAACCCCTTCTCCCTGGTATCTCATGTGAGAGACTGTTTTTCTTTGGAGGAGCATCCAGTCCTGTTCAGTAGCAGAGCTCTGACACAGGGGTTGACCACGGAGACTGTAAAGTAGTGGAGTTCCAGGCGTCGTATAGTGAAATCAGCTCACATTTATTGATTACATTGGAACGAAAGGTCTGAGGCCGGCTTATACTTGTGCACACACTCACACCCAACACACCCCCAATTCCCGTGACAGGTTCTATATACATGGCCCAGGTAACGATAGGTTCTCATCAGGATTCTAGCATTCCCATTGGTCCTCGCTAGGATCTGCGTTGGCTATTGTTCTAGACCTGAAGGTCTGTGAGTCGGGTAGACCGCATGGCCAGGCGCACGCGGTCGCAACCATCTTAATACACAACACCCCTTCCCCCTTAGTTCTGAAGTACTAGCATACAAAGTCCCACAAGTACTCTGGGTGCCGCCGTTCTCTCATGGAGCAGCGTGGCTCTGACAGGGTGCAGTTCGGTGCGGTTGGCCCGGGGTGTGGTGGCTCGGAGGCGTCGGTCGGTGAGGTCTCGGGTTCTGGGGCCAGACTGGTGCTGGGCCCTGGAGTGGAACTTGGAGCAGGCGCTGAGGCTGTGTTGGACTCTGCTGGCCCCAATGCGGGTTCTTCCAGGTCTGGCTCCACCTCACTTTCTTCAGCGTCCCATACCTCCTGGTCATCGATGGGCAGCAGGCGATGGCGCAGTTGGTCTATGTGCCTCTGGACGAGCTGGCCATCTTCAGTCAAGACCTCGTATGAGAGCGGTCCCGTTACTCTAACCACCTGGGCAGGGATCCAGGGTTTGCCCCATGTGTAGTTTCAGGTGTACGCTGGATCCTCAGGATAAAACCCCTGGGGTGCCTCCTGGTTTACCGGGCCTGGGTTGTGGTCGGCTGCCCTGTCCGGGTGAAGCTGGTCCAGTCTGGTCATCAGTTGCCAGCCCATTAAGAGTTCAGTGGGGCAGCATCCCGTGGCAGTGTGTGGGGTCGTCCGTTGGCCGAACAAGAAGGCGGCTAGCCTGTAGACCCATTCCCCTTGGACGATCTGGCGCAGTGCCTCCTTGGTAGTTCGCACTATCCGCTCTGCCTGTCCATTGGTTGCCGGGTGGAATGGAGTGGAGTGGACATGTTGAATTCCATGATACTGCACAAACTCCAGGAATTCCACTGACGTAAATGCAGTTCCATTGTCCAACACCAGGGTGTCGGGGATGCCATGGGTGCTGAAGATCTTCCACATGGCTTTGATCATGGCTCTTGATGATGTAGAGGAGACAGGGACCACCTCTAGTCGCTTAGAGTAAGAATCAACAAGAATAAAAAAGGTCTGTCCTGGAACGGGCCTGCAAAGTCCAGGTGGAGACAGGCCCACGGTTTGTGCGAGGATTCCCACTATCGCACTGGAGCTCCGGGAGGGGCCACCCGTGTTTCTTGGCATGTTTTGCAGCATTTGACCAGGTCCTCTATCTCCCCATCCATGCCCGGCCACCATATGTAGCTGCGCGCCAAGGATTTCATACCCATGATTCCCAGGTGGGTTTTGTGCAGTGTGGTGAGTACGCGTCCACACAGGGGGCTAGGAATGACTACCCGGCTGCCCCACAAGATGCAGCCTTTGTGAGTGGACAGTTCTTCCCAGCAGGATGAGAACACTGCGAACTCTGGGCCCACATACCCTGTGGGCCAGCCCCTTCCCACCCAGTCCCAAACATAGCAGAGGACGTGGTCCTTCTCGGTGTGTTTGGAAACTTCAGGCACCTGTACCGGCTGGTCGGGCAGTTCTTCCAGCAGCAGGATCTGGTGCGTGGGGCCTGGGGCCTGGTCACAGACAGGCAGCGGAAGGCGGCTGAGGACGTGGGCGTGTCCCATTGCCTTGCCTGGCCTGTGCAGCAGGGTGTACTGGTAGCTGGCGAGAAAGATAGACCACCGCAGCACCTGTGGAGACAGCATCTGGGGTGTCTGGCAGTCAGGGGCCAGGAGGCCCAGCAGTGGTTTGTGATCCGTGAGGACTGTAAAGGGGCGACCGTACAGGTAGTCATGGAATTTACGCACCCCTGCCACAATCGCCAGTGTCTCCTTGTCTATCTGAGTGTAGTTCAGCTCCTCCACCAACAGGGTGTGCGAGTAATACGCTACTGGGACCTCGTGGCCGTCGGCCAGTCTGTGACACAGGACCGCCCCCGTCCCGTAGCACGATGCATCACAGGTGAGCACCACAGGGAGGGGCTCATCAAAGTGGGCCAGGACAGCATTGGAAGTCAGTAAGTCTTTAACGGCCTGGAGCGCCGCGGCCTGAGGGCCCCCCCACTTCCACTGCACATGTTTGTCCAAGAGATGGTGCAGGGCCTCAGCCATGGCCGCTTTGTGGGGGAGGAACGAGTGATAGAAACTGAGCAGGCTGAGGAAAGCCTGTAGTTCAGGTTTGGAGGAGGGTGTAGGTGCGTTGACTATGGCTGCTATTTTGCCCCTTGTGGGGTGGATTCCACCGGCATTGACTTGGAATGCCAGGAACTCAATGCTGAGGACCCTGAGGAGACACTTTTCTCTTTTTACTTTAAGGCCGGCTGCGTTGAAGCACTGCAGGATAGCTCTAAGATGGTCACCTTGCTTATTTAATATATATGCAGAGTACATCATGCGAAATGCTTGCCTGGATGAATCACAAGTGGGAATTAAGATTGCTGGGGAAAGATCAACAACCTCAGATATGCAGACGATACCACTCTAATGGCAGAAAGTGAAGAGGACCTAAAGAGCCTCTTGCCCAGGGTAAAAGAGGAGAGCGCAAAAGTGGGCTTGAATCTCAACATCAAAAAAACTAAAATCATGGCATCCAGCCCCATCACTCCTTGGCAAATAGAAGAGGAAGTCGTCGAAGTAGTGACAGACTTCACGTTCCTGGGATCCCAGATCACCGCAGACTGTGACAGCAGCCATGAAATTAAAAGACGCCTGCTCCTTGGGAGGAAAGCGATGGCGAACCTAAACAGCATGATAAAAAGTAGAGACATCCCCCTGCCAACAAAAGTTCGCATGGTCAAAGCAATGGTATTCCCAGTAGTCATGTATGGCTGCGAGAGTTGGACTATAAGGAAGGCCGAGCGCCGAAGAATAGCTTCTTTTGAACTATGGTGCTGGAGAAGACTCTTGAGAGTCCCTTGGACTGCAAGAAGATCAAATCAGTCAATCCTAAAAGAAATCAACCCTGACTGTTCCCTGGAAGGCCAGATAGTGAAACTGAAGCTCAAATACTTTGGCCACCAAATGAGAAGGGAGCACTCACTGGAGAAGACCCTGATGCTGGGGAAGATTGAAGGTCAAAGAAGAAGGGGACGGCAAAGGCTGAGATGGTTAGACAGTGTCATAGATGCAACGAACATGAAATTGAGCAAACTTCAGAGGACGGCAGAAAACAGGAGGACCTGGCGAGATCTTGTCCATGGGGTTGCGAAGAGTCAGACTCGACTGTGCGACTGAACAACAACAAAAAATGAGGTCCTTGGCCAGACGGATGGTGGCTACCCCACAAGAGCTTATTAGCAAGGCCCGTTTCTTACCGGCATCGGTGATGTTGTGGAAGGTGAGGTAGTTCATTAGCTGGTCTACCCATGCTTCCCAGAACTCTGGATGCGTGTGGTCAAAAAGTTCGATGGTTCCCAGAGCTGCAGTCATGACTCGAGGGCAGTGTGGGGAGCGATGATCGGAGGAATGGGACGTGGTGCAGTGCTGCTGAGGAGCGATGCGGGGCACGGTGTCCTGTTTTTCGGCGCTCGGTGCTGGTCCGGAGTTGGAGTCAGGCTTGGGATCCCACCTTCGTTGCCAGTGTAAAGTAGTGGAGTTCCAGGCATAGCAATATGAAATCAGCTCACATTTATTGATTACATTGGAACGAAAAGAGATAACTTAACTGGTCCGAGGCTGGCTTATATTTGTGCAAACACTCACACCCAACAACCCCCCAATTCCTGTGATAGCTTCTATATATACATGGCTCAGGTAACAATAGGTTCTCAGCAGGATCCAGCATTCCCATTGGTCCTTGCTAGGATCCGCGGTGACTATTGTTCTAGACCCGAAGGTCTGTGAGTCCGGTAGACCACATGACCAGACGCACGTTTTCGCAACCATCTTAATACATAACAGAGACCTACACGAGTCAGTCAGTGGTGACCTGTCAAGGAATGGACTAGTAGCAAGCCCTTCTCTGTTCCTTCTGACTGAGTCCCAGGACGTCAGAAGAAACCTGTGGCCGCCCCAAGTTTCCACTAGGCAACATGCCCCTTCTCCTCACTCCCCAAATGTACCAGTTACACACTTGGTGACCACTAACTGCCACCAATGACTCTTTATCTCCTGCAAGGCAGAGTCATACACCTAGCCCTCCATACCTGTGCGGCTGTTCAGAGGCCCCGCCTAGTTTACCAGGCCTCCCACGATGCCGGTACAAGCCACAGCAAGCCAAACGCATTCCCCTTCTAGATAGTTCAAGGCATCTAAGAGAAGTTTGGTGAAGCAGCAGGCCTGAATCCCCAAAAGTCTCATTACGAATTTTTGGAGGGAAAGGGGAAATCAGCAGAGGGAGGAGATTCCTCACAGAAAACTCAGCTTTCTTGGCCACTTGCTGTCTGAGAGGGACAGAGGGGGAGAGGGAGTGAGGAACCCTGTGGGAGGAGCGTGAGGGGCTCAGGAGACAAAATGAACAGTTTTTATTATTATTGATTAAAAACATTTATTTCCTGGGTCAAGGTAGCTTACAATAATAATTGGCTTACAACAATAGTTAAAAACATTTTCAATTAAAACCAAAAATAAAATGGCAAACCTCAAACCAGTGATGCCTATGCGGCAGTGGGCACCAGGCAATCCATGGTGGGGCAGTGCTGGGGGTTTGGGACAGAGATCGTTGGCAGGCTATGCCAACGCCATGGAAAACTTGCTGGGAAACTGGGCTAAAACAAATAAAATGAATTTCACTGGGGATAAATGTAAAGTTCTGCAGTTAGGTAGGAAAAATCAAATGCATAATTATAGGATGGGGTAGACTTGTCTTGGTAGTAGTATGTGTGAGAAGAAGAAGAAGAAGAAGAAGAAGAAGAAGAAGAAGAAGAAGAAGAAGAAGAAGAAGAAGAAGAGGGAGGAGGGGGAGGAGGAGGAGGAGGAGGAGGAGATTGGATTTATACCCCGCCCTTCACTACCCGAAGGTGTCTCAGAGCGGGTCTTAGTACACCATACACTGAACATGAGTCAGCAGTGAGATGTGGTAACTAAAAAGGCAAATACAATTTTGGGCTGTATCAACAGAAGTATAGTGTCCAGATCATGTGAAGTAATGGTATTGCTTTACTCTGCTCTGGTTTTACCTCACCTAGAGTACTGTGTTCAGTTTTGGGCACCACAATTTAAGAAGGATACAGACCAGCTGGAACGTGTCCAGAGGAGGGCAAACAAAGATGGTGAGGGGTCTGGAGACCAAGTCCTATGAGAGAAGGTTGAAGGAGCTGGGTATGTTTAGCCTGGAGAGGAGATGGCTGAGAGGTGATACGATAACCATCTTCAAGTCCTTGAAAGGCTGTCATCTAGAGGATGGTGCGGAGTTGTTTTCTGTAGCCCCAGAAGGTCAGACCAGAACCAACGGGTTGAAATTAAATCAGAAGAGTTTTCGGCTAAACATGAGGAAGAACTTCCTGACAGTTAGAGCAGCTCCTCAGTGGAACAGGCTTCCTCGGGAGGTGGTGGGCTCTCCTTCTCTGGAGGTTTTCAAACAGAAGCTAGATGGCCATCTGACAGCCATGCGGATTCTGTGAACTTAGGCAGATCATGAGAGGGAGCCCTGGAGCTGGTGAAGGACAACTTCATGCAATGTGCAGTGAGGGGCTCCCGGCTTAAGGCCAACTACACTGTCCACGGGCCATTTGACAGCAATGCGGATTCTGTGAACTTAGGCAGATCATGAGAGGGAGAGCAATTTCCACTTTTTGGAAGGAGTGTCTTGGTTAACTGAGAAAGCCACATTTTCCTGCATATATAAAATGTCTACCCCTCCTTTCTGTCCTCCCCTGGGCAAGCCAGCGCACTCCATCTCCAGTTGTTAAATACAAACAAGCCTGAAGTCAAGGTGTGTGTGTGTGTGTGTGTGTGTGTGTGTGTGAATCCTTAACCGTTGTTGCCCCAGGCTCCCCCTGACGCTTGTCGTGTGTTCCCCTGCAGCTTCGTTGTTGGAGGTGACGGGTACATCTACCAAGGCCGGGGCTGGCAGTGGGTAGGAGCTCACACCCTGGGACACAACAGCAAAGGCTACGGCGTCGGTTTCATCGGGGACTACATGAAGACCCTGCCAGAGCCCTTTGCCCTGGAGCTGGTGAAGGACAACTTCATGCAATGTGCAGTGAGGGGCTCCCGGCTGAAGGCCAACTACACTGTCTACGGGCATCGCCAGGTGGTGCCTACCCTGTGCCCCGGAGACAGACTCTTCCAAGAGATAAAAACATGGAAAGGTTTCAATGAGAGGTGCTTCATGAAGCATGGTGTCCGTCACTGCATTTAATTTACAGCGCGGAGTTCCTGGCTTGGCAAGTCTTCATTTTCTACAAATTGCCTTAAGACCGGGG